GAATCTTACCTTTATCTTTATTTTATCTTTATTTTATAAATATAAAGTCTTTATTTATCTTTATATTTGAAATATAAAGATTTTATTTATATTTATTCTTTAATATAAAGGTGGTTAAAGATAAAATAACACCCTTAATTGGAATGAATTGACATTGTCTCATCTCCATTCATCTGACAATGACGATGACTAATACTGAGGAATAAATGAAAGAATTTTGAAAAAATTTTTAAAGTCTAGTCCTTCGAGTACAACTCAACTCGGCTCGACTAGACAGTGTGTCTCATGTGACTCGACTCCACTCGGTATGAACCTAGTCGAGTTGAGTCGATTTGCCGAGTATTCGACTCGTTTTCGGTCTAAGGTCCCGTGCTCGATGAGTTTCTAAAATTGTTTTCCCGTCCCACCCCGCTCCATGGCAACTTAGCCTCGTGCTCCGCCGGCATCCGTGTCTTGTAAAAAAAAACTAAAAAAAAAATCTGATTGTAATCGATTTTTTCTGATTTACCTGTTCTTCGTTGTGTGAATCAAAATCAGATCAATCATATATGTGTTGTAGTCCCTCCAGAACAGTGATTATGGACAAATTTCCTTCATTTTTCGCATATACTAGAGAAATTTTAAAAAAGAATTTTGACCCGCCCCACCCCGCTCTGTAACTGTTCAGCCTCGTGTTCCGTCGAGCCCCACCGATCTGCGAACAGCTCAGCCCCGCCCCACGGGACCCCAGTGCCCCGTACATCTATGATTTACTCTGATCTACAAGTTAGTACATGAGATCGTCAGAGTTCATATCACTGGTTGTTCACAAACCTGACTTTTCATTCTAAGAATTCTGGTCTAATTGTACGGCAAAAACATAGATGTCGCAATTTTATATGTCGTCGTACGATATACTTCTACCTTGCTTGAATGACATTATAAAAGGTACCTAACAATGACATCGCTCGCTGTTGATAATTTCGCATTTTTTCATTCAAGATATGGCGCCAGATGGCCCGTGAAATATCGATTATCTAAATAAATGCTATTAGAATTAGAAAGAAAGAACAGTCACAATTTAGTTTAATCTATATCTGAAGGAATGAAGTTGTGTAACTGAGATCTTCCAAGAAACCCCACATGTTCTTGTTAAATTCATGCTCGTTTCGTTGATGAATGTGGCTTATTCCCTCAATTAATACCAAGGTTTTCAAAGTGGTTATGGAGTTGCGTAGATTATTTGATCATTCACCTCACTCTCTCTGTTCTTCCCTATGATCAAACATAATACTTCAGAGTTTCCTCAATCGATTCCTTGATGACATGATTCATGAACAGCTCCATAGTTGTCCAGCATCTCATGACAGAAACAGAATAAAATGATTCACTTTGATTTATCTCTGCTTCATTTAGCTATCCCAATAGTTTTTCACCATTTCAAGAGACACATCGAATAAGTTAGTTTAGTTTAAGTTTCTCTTTCTTGATTTACTTTTCTTGATATTTGTCACGCATTTTATGAGAGAAATAGAATAAGATGATTTTCTTTTTACTTTTTTTTTGCTTCATTTGTTTACCCTGTTAGCTGCCGTGCATTTTATGAGAGAAATAGAATAAGGTGATTTTGTTTTTTACTTTTCTTTTCTTTGTTTAGTTACCCTGGTAGCCGTCGCACATTTTATGAAAGAAATAGAATGAGAAAATTATCTTTACTTTTCTTTTCTTCATTTAGTTATACTGATAGTTTTCAAACGTTTTATGATGTAAACAGAATAGGTTTGTTTAGTTTAATTTTATCTTTCTCTATTTAGTTATCCTGATAGTTGTCGTGCATCTTATGAGAGAAGTCGAATAGCTTATTTTACTTTTATTTTTTCTTTTTTTTTGATTCAGTTCTGCTGACGGTTGGTGAGGATATTATAAGAGAAACAAAGAAAGATAATTTACTGTTTACTGTTCTTTTCATGATCTTGCTGTTGCTATAGTTTTGCGGCATTTTATAAGGCGGATGAAACGAAACGGTTTAGTTTCATAGTGTTTTTGCATATAGTCTATTGTGTTCTTTCGCTTGAAAAATAATTGGGTGCTATCAAGCTTTCAACCATTGTAGATCTTTAAGGGAGGATCCATGTGGCTAGCACTCAAAACAGCAGAGATCGGTTGCCCAAAGATGTTATTTTTTACAATGCGTTTGCTCGTTCGAAAGAGTATATAAAGTTACTCAGAAACACAAATTTCAAAATATCCGTCCGTCAAAAACTATGCTTTTTAAATCATTTTTGTTTATGAACTTTTTGACCGGAAAAAAGTTGTTCAAAACTATTATCAAATTATACCAATCAATAGAATGGAAGCTGCTCTACAAAACCCGATATCTCCTATATGTTATTATGTATCTTCGAAATCGAAAAAAATCATAATAACAGGTGAGTTCGATCACTTTTATTATTAAATAAGTTTGTATCGATTTTCTCCCATTGATGTAGACTCGTGTATGTCTTTTGAATCACTATTTGATTTGTATTCGGTAGACATTGTCATAAATTTTTCGAATGATTTGACATTTACGGTGTATGGTTAGTTATTGATCACGCGATGTTACCTATTCCTTTTCGTCTTTTGAACAGATCAAGGTATTGATTACTGATCGCTAGAGATACAAGAAGGATGAATTTTTGCCTTATTTGAAATCTTTTATATGCATTACGGCAGTCGATTGAATGTTAGCATCTTATGGTAATTCAATTCTTTTTTTATTCATTTCTTTCTCAGCATGGGCTTGATTATTGAAGTGGTGTATTTCTTTATTGCTTCTCTATAGGTGCCACTGATGACTTATTTTTTTTAGTATATCATTCTCATAAATTGAAAATTATTTATACGCAAAATTCTGAATCGACAATAGTTTGTTTTTTCTCATCTTTCTTATCTATGCTTTTGATCGAATCCAAACTATTGTCTTCATTCTACTTTCAAAACTTGAGTACCAATATGTCATTGTAACTAAGCAGTAGTGTTTCATCTTTGTTTCTATCAACCTATTATTGTTGATTTGAAAAAGGGAAAATAATGGATATGAATAAAGAAAGTGTTAGCGTCCATGATAACTCACTTGGACGCTAAACGATGATTAAGATGCGCCTTCTAGTCTAATTGGCTTAAACATCTGCCCGGATAGCAGAAGGTATGGGTTCGATTCTCATGAAGGTCATCTTTTTCATCGTTCTGTCACATAACATCAGTGACACTGCTTGTCCCTTTCGTTCTATACATATGAGAGCTAACAGAAAGGATTTAATTCTTCGTGGAAAAGGTAACACAAGTTAGTAGACGATGAGGCAAACGAGATAGAGTGGAATTCCAGAATTCCGCTCTTTCTCCCGTGCAATGAGTTCTTCTAGTGTCTTACTCAATTTTACACTTGAATTTAGGTTTCTTGTGACGAAATATTTAAAAATGATGCATAGTGACCAACATTATCGTGCACTTTTCGAGACTTTGCTACTGCTTTAGAACCAATATTTTTTTTTATGACAAGATGCATCTTTTGACGCTCTACAAAACTATAGAAAATTTATATCAGGCTCTTGAAAAGTAACTACATCAGAGAAACAACAATGGTAAAAGACAGCATGTAAATTAGACCAAAAAAAATGATCGAACTCACCTGTTATAATGATTTTTTTCGGTTTCGAGAGTACATAATAACATATAGGAGATATTAGATTTTGTAGAGGAGCATTCGCTCCATTGATTGGTATAATTTGTTATTTATAGAAATATTTTTGATGGGAAAAATATAATCTGAACCGACAAATAAATTTTTTAAATAAACCATCGTATTTCAGCTGACATATTGAAATTTAGACAAGTCTTTTGAATAAATACAAACATATTAGAAACTTTTGTACATATATATTTTTGTCTATCTCAAATTAATCATTGTCGTTTTAGAAGAATACAAATGTCGTCTAAAAAACATATTATGTTATCCTATCAATGGGATAATCAAAAAATTGTAACAGAAGTTTATCGGCGTCTTAGTGAAAAAAAGATTCCACTATGGATGGATATACAAGGTGGAATGAAAGGTCATTTAAGTGAAAGGTAAACTTTTTTTTTGCTAATATTATCATAATAATATTTTGTTTAAGCATGGCAGCAGGAGTAGAAAATGCAGTAGCTATATGTTGTTTTTTGACGCCGAAATATCAAGATAGTGTTGCATGTAAAGATGAATTAACTTATGCAAAAGAACAAGGTGTATGTATTATTCCAATACGTTTAATAGCAAATTGGAAACCAACAGGTTGGTTAGGTTTTACTATAACAGGACATAAATGGATTGATTTTCGTGATATTGATACAAATATGGATTTAAGAATTCAACAGTTAATTAATGAAATTCGAATGTTAGTTGGAAATAAACTCGATTGTTTTAAAGATATGGAACCATTGGATTTTGTGCATGATGAAGACGAAAAAGAAGAAGAGCATAATGAAGAACATTCCTTTACTATAAGTGAGTATGAAAAACAATATATTACAAAATATTTTGATTTCAGCTATCCAGGAGTACATGAGATATCTTTGCAGTTGTCTCAGCAAATTCTGGTTGTTTATGACTTAAAATTTCTAAATAGAATGAGTAATCAGACATGTATGCGCTGTATTACTTATTTTTGGCTATAGGAATCAATATATTATTCTAGTATAGTTTGTGAAAGTTTAGAAGGTGTCTATGATATTTCGAAGTAGTATTTGTTGACTTTTTTTATAAATATGAGCGATTAACAATGCTTTATCAGTGATGAAAGAATCAACCCATTTGATCAAAATATAGATGAGATATTCAAACTTTTCTTGTTAAATGAATTATTGGACATTCTGCATCAATTGTCATGCTGAGCTTTATACCCTATAACCGAAGAATCTAGTTTTTCAAAGTCAACCGTTATGTTACTGTCAGTTGGTCATCTTTGTCCGCTGAGAGTTACAAGCATTGATCTTTTGCTTTAAAGTAACTGCTGTCGGAAAGCAAACATCACAGGAGAGTAATTGTCTGGAAGTAACTCTTTGGTTATCTGACGATCAAAATACTAATGAATATTTTATTTTGAAAGAAAATCATAAGTGTCGTATTTTAAGAAGAAAATAATTCTTAAAGATAAAAATGGATTTTGTACAGGCAATCAAATGAGAAATTTTCCGTTATCTAGCAACTGCTAACGTAACAGTGACTGACCTCCCCTAGTTCAATTTGATTTCGAATATTTTCTATTCAAATACGTCTCGCATGGAAAAGATAATCTTTTTTTATTTATAGAAATATAGAGGTATATATGGTGCATTTGACAAGACAGTACCACATTCTCCAATGAGCCATATTCACAAACGATAGATATAGTATCTGTTGTTTGTCAGATAGTTGGAAGACTCACCATATAGAATGTGGGAGTAATATAGACAGAACAAAAAAGAAAAGAAAATAGTTCCAATCAGTAAAATACAGATCGTTTCCTGTGAAACTGAGACTCCTCTATTTAAAACAATAATAATTAAATTCTGTTTGAATACAGTAATGATGATATGATCACTCTTAAAGTAGATGTGTCTCTGTTTTTTATTATTCATATTATAGTCGACGAACAAGATTTTGATCCAACTTCATATTATCGTTTAACAACACAATGGCAAGGCAATAATAAATCTCTTGATGTTGTCAATGATGGTAAAAATAATAATCAACTTATACTTGCTACAACTGGTAATTATAGTGGACAATATTGGAAGATTACTCCAACTGATAATGGATTTTATCGTTTAACTACACAATGGCAAGGGGACAAGAAATCTCTTGATGTTGTTAATGATGGAAAAAATAATAATCGGCTTATACTTGCTAAAACTGGTAATTATAGTGGACAATCTTGGAGGATTACAGCGACTGGTAATGGATTTTATCGTTTAACTACACAATGGCAAGGTGATGATAAATCGCTTAGTATTGTCAAAGATGGTAAAAATAATAATCAGCTTATACTTGCTAAAACTAGTGATTGTCAGGAACAATATTGGAAAATAACAAAAGTGTGATATATGAATGAATAATATACAATTAAATTGACTCATAAATAATTTTACAAAAAGAATATCATATAAACATTCATTAAATAATTTTATCAGCATATCTTAGGACAAATAAGATTTCTATATATCGATAAATTTGTAACATTTAACAGGACTTTCTTATTATCGATCAACGTAATCGATTATAATATTTTCTTTTTATTTTAAATAACATTATAGTTTCAGATTTCAAGATTTTATCATTTCTAAGAAGTAAAAATAAATTCAAAGCCGAAAAGATTTCTCGATATCAGTATTATATTTCGTTCAATAGCTAACCATGTCAATACGTATAGTATTGGTACGCATGTCATCATGCTTCGTACGCCAGACGTACACCCTCGCCATACTTGTGACGAACGTAACGCAACTTCACGTGTACGGAGAGTGCCGTCACACATACGCACTATGACATATTACACACTATTTTCTCCCTGACTTTTTCCATACAAAATTATGTTCAAATACCATAACTAGTTGAAGATTCAGTCGCTTCTTGGAAGATGCGTCCTCGATTTCTGTCCTGATTATGTGATCCTTTTTATCTAATGGTACATGTCTCCCGCGGATGTTCATAGTCCTCAAAATACATTAACAATCAGATAGTTTAATTGATAAAATAACCAGTCCGATATTCAGAGTTATAGGTCCGAGTCTTGTTCGGATTTTGTGATCCTCATTTAGATAGTCGTTCGTGCTATTTGAAGTATGTCATTGTGGTTATTCGATAAAGTTCTTTTTTGGTACTATAATTGTGAGCAGATAAAATGAAAGATTATCTTCATCTTTCTCAGAAATTTATATCATATTCACCATCACCTTTTTTTTATTAATGACAATTATTGGTTGAAGGATAAGGATGTTTGTATATATTTAATCTTTTAATCATTGTATTTCAGCGTTTAGATAGCTCAACATTACTGAATTAGTTCATCATTGTTGAATAATAATATTAAATTACTAGGATAGATCGTCATCGATAATAATTGTGACGATTCTTTTAGAATTTCTAATAAGCCTTTGATGATACCAATTTGCGAACATTGACATATTTAATTATTTTCAATTAAAAAGTCAACAATCA